CAGAAGATGAATTAAATTGGCCATTCTGCCCTTAACAGAGATGAATGCTTGCTACTTCAAAGTAAGAAGAAAGAAAATAAAAGAAACGAGTAAGCAATAAATACTGCCATGGCTTGCCTGTGCATGGGGGGAAAATGCCTTTTCAAATCCTACAGTGTAACTGTTTAGCCCTGAGGCAAAAGATTGGATTATAATCATTATCGTAACATTAGTAACTGCAAAATTCGGCACCAGACGTTGATCCAGCTGCAGCATTTAACATCAGGACCTTAGGAGGCTGTCCCACATATTTCTAAGGAATTCAATCCCTTTTATTATCTTAAGCATAGATTCTTTCATTTCTTTAGCTTCTCTTGTATTTTAAAAACCAGAGCCTAGTTATAAATAGAATAGACAAAATGACAACCACCGCCTTCCCACAAAACCTTGTCATGTAATGTTCCCTGTCCATTGTATTTACGTCTTTTCTGTTCATTGTTTATGACTCGCTTTAGAAAATTTTGCAACTTCACAGTTCCTTATATATCCACAACTAATTTTCCAACCTTTCTCAAATTTCCATTCCAAGTTCTATTTATGCAACATATACATTTTGGATAACAAATTAAAATTTACTTTTGATCCTAAATTCAATATCAACTGCCCTCTAAGAGCCACTGTAGTTTTTCCTTCCCTGGTGTCCAAAAGATAAAAAATGTGGGTCCTTTGCAGTGATTGCTTGTTTTCCTTATATGTTGTGAGTCACGCTTTGCCAAACTGCACATAAACTGTATTTGCTCTATTATTTCCAAAGCATTTTAAATGTTTCGAAGGGTTTGATTTGCCTCAGATAGGATTAGCGACCAACTTTATTTGATAAAATTAAAAGAGATGCTTCATTAGTTTCCTTGGAACTGAAGATAGATCTGACTATTTTAAATGTCAAAGTTCAGAAACTTTCAACTTAAATTACAATATGAATAAGAGAAACATGAAAAACAAGAAAGTTGTAAAAATAACCCAAGAAAGGCTACAGTTGTGGATGTTTCCCTTTTAATTCTTTCAGTAATTGCTAAACTGTGGCTGGGTGAGTAGTACAATGACACCATTCTTATCATTGATTTACAATTAAATTGATTCTGAAATTAGATTTTAGTGGCCAAAACTAAAGGCTAAAAACTGAAGCTGCCATTACTTGTACGATTCCTTATTACTTACAAAGGTATGTCCATGTGATTACTTCTCAGCTGAGCCATTGTCAATTTTCAGGGTAAAATGACTTAATATCTACTACTTGATACTGACTTTATATAGAGTATAGTCCCCGTTAGTTAAAATGTGGTTAATTTGCAAACCACAAATACAGCTCCTATAATTTCTTGCCTCTTACTTCTCAAATAATGTCAAAGGCTTTGTGATAAATGGCCCTGCACCATTGGGTCAGATCTGCTATTTCAGCCCATAAGAGGCTTGAAGAAAACAATTCATCTGTGACTGTGTGGTAATCAACAGCTTCACATGCTTATCTCCAACCAAAACACATTTTAAAAGTATGTGCATGTCGCTAAGCTTCTAGCTCTAATTCGTCAGTTCCTTCAAGTGCATGTTCTGCAAACAACAACTCACTTTGGCATTTACTGTTCTGTAAAACATAACGCAGAGGCCACAGAAGGAAGCCCCAGCAGGAGCAGAGCTGTTTCTTCCAAAATCTCACTTTATTCTGAGTTGCCATTACAGACAGTAAAATATATTTATGTGGCTCAATCAATTCTGTAAATTATACTGGGTCCTGCAATGGTTTAAAGGCCCTTCTGGCCAATTATATTTACTTCTGTTTATACAAATTGGCAAGAAGCTGCTGTATGCTGGCTCTCAGCCACCTCGAAGTTCCTTCCATTTACAGTCAATTTTACGAGAGATATAATATTTTTATATTAAAGATCCCCGAACGGCATTAATAAGGGAAAAGAAGGAATAATAACCTGTTACATTTATTTTCTTTTGCTCCCAGTCAGCATAAAAAAAACCCCAAACTTTTTTGAGTTGATAGTTTAGAATTTCCAGGAATGAGGTGTTTTGAGAGATGGAAAAACTCAGAACTAGTTGCTTTCAAGAGAAACTCTAGATACAGTAGTATGTGCATCTGCCCATGGGTTTCTAGTGCAAACAGAGGAGAACTAGGTAGGCTTTCAACCTTCCTGCTTATGACATTTTAAAACACTTTGAAAGTTAATCCAAAGGCAATTTTAAAGAAGGTGGTGTCCTGAAAATAAAGTGTACCAAAACTCAAATACACACACTGCTGCGAAGGCCAAAATTACAAGCGTTCTAGGAGGGAGTCATGACGTAATATAAGAGAAGCAGGGTTTGGAGTCAGAAGGGTCTGAGGTTCATTTCAAGCTGCAAGGCTTTGGCTTGGCAATAAATAAGATGGCCATCTCTAAAACCCCATTCCTCTAGAAAGGCACTGTACCTCTCACAGCTGAGGATTCGAATTCAATACCCCATGTACATCAGCCTGCCCTTAATATGCCCCCTGAGAAACCTTGCTTTCCTGGCCCCTAGAGAGAATGACGGAACCCGAGTCTGGACCATGCCTGTGTAAGGCCACATGTGCACTGCGATGTGCTTCCCACCATGGTAAAGAGCAGGGAGTTCAGCTTGACAGACTAGCTCTGCTGGATTATTTTAAGCAAGTCACTCCCTGTGTAAAGTGAAGGAGTTAGACTAGACCAAAATGCATCTAATGTCCCTTCTAGCTCTAAAATTCTACATAAGCTACCAAGAAAACCGACATAAATAAAAACCCCACTATTGTAAGGAGTGTACACCAAAGAGATCACCACCTGATGTTTCGGATTCTGCCCTAGACAGTGCAGAGGACGGGGCTAAGTCACACTACAACGGTTTCCCCTCCGCATCTGACAGAGTGCGGCGGGTGTTCCCGGAAGGCTGAAGACCAGTGTCAGGCAGCAAGGGGTAGGGGCTGTCCCGAGAGAGTGAGAGAGAGAGAGAGAGAGTGAGAGAGAGTGAGAGAGAGAAGGAAACGGCGATGTAGGGGAAAGGCACCTGCTGCATCTCTTTAGCGACGGGGCCTAAAAAGAGGTCGGGGCTGCTCTGAGAAGCAGACCGTGCAGATCCAGCCCCGACCTGGAGGAGACGCGTTGGTGGCCGAGGAATGAGAGGAAGAGGAGGGAGCGGGAGATGGAGGAGGGAGGTGGATGCAGGAAAAGGGCCAAGTGGAGCCCTGGCCCCAGGCACTCACCACAAGCGGGATGGAGCAGATCAGCACCACTAGGGAGGTGGCGATGAGTAAGATGACCATCTGGATCTCGGCGCCCGCGATGCGGCGGAAGCTCCGGCGGCGGCGAAAGTCGCTGAGGCGCGACAGGGCGGGGGAGGCGGCGGCCGAGGAGCCCCGGCAGGCGGCCTGGACCACGGCGGCGGTCGCGTGGTGCTGCTCGGTGCCCAGCGAGGTGCGGCGCATGAACTGACGGTGCATGCGGAGCAGCGCGCCGCACACGAGCACGTTGCAGAGCACGGTGGCGAGAATGAGGAAGGAACTGAAGCCCGCGTACATGTAGGAGAAGGCGGCGTGCGCCGTCACATTGGTGGTCCAGTCGATGAAGCACCAGGTGTCCGGGTACTGCAGCCGCGAGCTGCCGAGGCCCATGTTGGGCAGCGCGCAGAAGAGCACGTTGGACGCGTAGACCGCGAAGAGCGTGAGGCCCGCCAGCCGCTTGTCCACGTAGTGGCTGTAGAAGTAGGCGTGGTTGATGGCCAGGTAGCGCTCGATACTCATGGCACAGATGATGCTGAGCCCCGACAGGCCGAAGAAGAGCAGGATGAAGGTGCTGTACTCGCACAGCGCGGGGCCCCCGGGCCACTGGCCCTTCATGTACGTGGCGATGGTCACCGGGCTCACCAGCAACGTGCCCAGCAGGTCGGTGACCGCCAGCCCGCATACCAATGTGTAGAAAGTCGTCTCCTTTTGCTCTTTGCGCGACTTGCACAGCACCACGATGGCCACCAGGTTGCCCACCACCCCGAATATGAACATAACCGCCGGGATGGTCACTGGGCTGTTCAGTCGGTCGGAGGCCAGGGCGGATGCATTGCTTCCAGGGGTGGCCATGGTGGTGGCCGGCGGCACACTGCCTTGGAGCGCGAGGCTGGGTCTGCGGTTGGTAGGAGAGAGACAAAGACGCGGTGAGCGGAAATTACCACTTGCAAAAAGGTGTCAGACCCGCGCCCAAGAGACAATATGCTGATGAGACCAGGGGAGCAACTCGATCCTACATTGTGGATTGTAGCCACCTACCAGCTGCGGCTACCGAAATCTCCAGGCTCCGGATGCGTCCTGCCAGCAGCACCACTCTACTGGCATTAATATTTATACGTTAGTACTGCCATTCTCTCCTCCTCCAAGCCAACTCATCCACTGCCAAGATGAACAAGACTTATCTCAAGGGAAAAGTGTTTTGCTCGTTTTCCCGACAGATTCTGAGTCAATAAAAGTCTCACTGAAACCAGGTTACGGAAGATAATTTGGAGAGCGCGCTCTTCCCTCCCTGGCTCGGCTCAAGGGGCGCCCGCCCACCGCTCTCTACCCAGTGCCTCCAACCCTATCTCACCTGTGGTAGCCGCGGAGGTGGCAGCCACGTAAGCCCCCAGGGTCAAGCCTCGGATATCCTGGACACGCCTTCACCCTGCCCTCAGCCTTGCCGCGCTCAATGTGGAGCTTACCAAGCCTTTGCCTTCTCAGAGCCTGCTCTCGGTGGCTGCCAATTTTCCGGTACAGGGGTCAGAGTGGTCAGCTTTCAAAAACTTGGAGAACCAGAAGGACAGCGAAATGGGTCAGTGAAGCCTGATCTTGGATTTTTTTTTCTTTGTCCTTTCCTTCGTTTCTTCAAAGACGATCCAAGCTTTGCGAAGCCCGCGGGTCTCGTCCGCGGACGGACGGCGCTCAGGTGTACTGCCGCGCGCGCAGGTGGCACCGAGCCTCGATCCCCGGCTCGGGCCGCCTTCCTTCCCAGCCCAAGGCAGCGCGGGCGGCTACCGGGACTGGCGGCTGCAGCTGAGGCCGCTTTTGGCGCCCTGGGGGCGGCTTGAGGTCCACTCGGCCTTAGGCTCTGACCTGGGGCCGTTCATCTTCCTCTCGCGATGCCTGTTTGGAGCTCCGCTCTTGCCCTTCCAGCCTCTGTACAAACTTTTCTCCTGCTTCAAGTTTCCCTGGCGGAGGCGGGGCCACACTGTGCGCGGCCCGGGCGCCCATTGGCCAGACCGGGAGGGGGCGGGGCGCGTGCTAGCTCCTCTGCGCGGCGAGGAAGCTCCGCGGGCAGGAGGGAGGGGCTCCGGGCTGCGCGGATCCCACCGCGCCTCGGCGGGCGGCTCCCTGCAGCTTTCCCGCCCTCCAACGAGGTAGGGGAGGGGGTGTTGGAGACTTGGTCCTCTCGCCTCAGGCAGGTGGTGCGGAGAAGCAGTGGTCCGCGGGAACCCTGGGGAAGCCCCAGTGCTCTTCTGTGCACCCTCTTAGGTACTCTGAAGTCGGCATCCAGCGGGGCCAGCTCTGAAACCGGCATCTCTTCTTCCTCACTGCCTCCCGCTCCAAGTGGGCTGTTTCTCGCACCTACTTCACGCGGGTCGCAACATCTGGGTGCTGGGAAGGGAGGTCAGCGGCTTAGGACTCTACTTTGGAACGCCCGAGGTGTGTGTGTGCTCGCGCGCGCGCGCGTGGCCCGGGGAGGAGAAACAGGGTGTGTGCGCGCGTGACCCCGGGTCAGCAGTAGGGTGCGCGCGACGGTTGTGGTGGGTGGATGGGCGGGTGGGCGCCAGGCATGGGCGGGGAAACAACGAAGAATCCACCTTCTCACCATAAAAGCAGTTAGTTGGCAGCGCCCAGGCCGTGGGCTGCTCTCGGTAGGGCAGTCCCAGGCAAAAAATAGGAGCCGGGACAGCAACCGCTCCCGGCGCAGGTGGCAGAGCCCTGCGGCTGCGGAGAGGTGGCGCGCGGTCCCCCAGGGGAGGGGTAGTGAGGGGGAAGGGCTGCCTGTCTAACCGCGGAGGCCTTTCTCCTCCTCCGGGGAACTTCTCCGCCTGGTGACAATGGTTAGACTGAGCTTCGTGTCTTGGCCCTGTTACGTTCGTGTTTAGATACCTTCAACACGAATCCTTGGAAAGGCTGATGCAGAGCGAGACTGGGATTTGAAAGTTTTTCGAGTAAAGGAATCAACTCTAACCCTGGTCAACTCTTGGAAAAGCCCAATTGCTCTACCTTTTCACTTTGAATTACACTATAATTTCTTCTGTGATGGGAACAGTTTTTTTGACGACGCGTTATTCACTTCCTCCTGTTCTACCTCCTGAAGTAAGAACTGAAAACTAAAAAAAGTGATTGTAAAACTTTATGGCATAATTATAACTGCTTCACCGTTTTTTTTTTTTTAAACCATGAAGTGAGATTGTGTGAGCCTTCACAATTTCAGTTCCTAAGAAAACCTCTTTCCAGGGGTTGTATACATGTATTTTAACATATTGCATCTCCTCACAGGGTAGGTAAATAACTTGATTCTTCTTATGATGAGCAGGCACTTATGCCTTAAATATTATTTCATGAATGAACAAACCTAAGAATTTATCTGGTTCTCCAGTTATTCTCAAATGACACAGTAACAAATAAGTAATAGGAGAAACAAAAGAGGGCATTCCAGATTTCAACTAATTACAGGACATATTAGAATTGTATTTACACATTTTGTGTAAGGCACCATGTGGATATATTGATACATCATTCTGTTGTTTGTATTGTTTCCTCATGAATATCAGGGATTCAGAAAGAAAAACACATTTGTTAGCCAGTATAAAATAATTGATGGCTATTTGTCAGTTTCTTGGAGTCTTAATCATCACTATAACCACTCCTGTTGTCTGTGCTTCCCATGAGTAGTAAGCTCTCGGATTGTGTCAGCAGTGAAATCAAATCAACACTAGAAAAAGGAAACTGCATCTTCTAACCCCCAGTCTTCTCTGACCACATTGTATCACTATTACCCTGTCAGGTGGTTGTCAGTCACAATATGAAGACGAAGTGGGAAGTTCCACTTATAATCAATCACTTTCTGCTAATAAAAATTTTTTTTCCAGTTCTCTTCCCGCTTGAAGTTCCTAAAATGGAGAACAATTAAGATTAGTACTTGTCAACTTTTCACGATGAAAAGTATATTAAATGTAAAAATTTAGGCGCGCTGTTGAGCGAATTAATATTACAGGTGTTAGCATGTCGTTGATAAACTGGGCTTGTTATCAATAGAGCTGTGTTTCTTACTAGTCCTTTACATTTTATTTCCACAGTAGCTTAGGAAAATGAAAATAAATAAGAATCCAGAATACAAGACCAAAAAAATGTAGGTTTACCTGTAACTTCTTTTGGTGCATGATTCTTAAAACTTAAGTTTAGCCTTCAGAAGTAGAAGTTGAAGATTTGGGAAATAATTATTTTATTTTCTTAACTTGAAAAGCTGAGACAGTGTAGTTCAGTTTCCCTCACACTCTGCCAGGAATCTACATTGCACAAGGAAATGAAGAATTGCCATGATTATGTGGACAATTCCTATCACTGTTTGTATATTTTAATGAAAAGATTTTTTTTCTAAGCATTGTTTGCTATCCTCCCTTGCAGTTGCTGCCTCAGTCCCTATTTCTCTGCACTGGAAGCCCCTAGTTCAGTTCTTTAGAGCTGTCATTAAATCCTCTCTGAAGGTTTGCACTAGTCTAAGAATGGCCTGACTGATCAGTTTGATTGCGCTCTGCTAGCTGATTACTTGACTGCTCTTTTAAGTAAATACCATAAGGGGGGGAGCTCGTTTAAAAGCACAGTCTGCTTGTAGGGTACCAACCATGTTCCCTTTGGTTGAATCTTCCTTGGGTCAAAGGAATGGGTAACAAAGGGGCTAATTCCTGGAAGGAAGGCAGCAGGATGAATCAGATCTGGCCTGGAACCCCTACTAAGCCGAAGTTGGCCACATCTTAGAGCGTTTCTAAAGCGCTAACATTCACGTAGCAAAGCCTGTGCAAAGTGTGTTTGCTCTCTGTCATTCTGGACAGGCCATTACGGATATTCAAAACAGTGAAAAAAGCATCTATCTGGTACAAATAACACAGTGCCTTTGGATACATCTGCCTTCTACACCCTCACCCAGTTGGTTCAGTAAATTAGAAGCATGGCATTAACCTGACCTTGGGCATGAAAAGAGGTCCACGGTTGTGGTTGTGGTCCTAAGGACTGCCCTCCCTTTTTAGTGGTGCATTTCAAATATGCACCTAATTATTTTCATTTTATAAGCATAAATTTTGTGCTGAGTCTAGTGCTTGGAGTTGTTACACGTGTCAGTACTGTGATTAACTCCCCAGCGTCTTCATGTGGGGATAAATTACTGCTGTGGAGGCTGGTGGCCACCAAGTGACAGCCTCAGGCTGCCTTCTTCTCCGACAGTTAACACTCGTCAACAGCATGGCTTTCTACCCTTTTATTCTTCCCCTGTTTTTTCTCCAAATATTTCACTGCACTCCCATTGTGAACTGGACTAATGGACAAAGAAAGGAGATTACTTACGTAGTGTTCCTCATTTTTGAAGATACAGGTGGAGAGATAAAGCCCTACGAGTCCAGGCATCTCTTCTACAGGAAGATGGACATTCTGATTATATTTTAGTTTCTTCTCACACCCCCTGTATTTTTTAGCACTTCAGAAAATAACACAGGGACTCCCTGGTTTAATCATCAACACCAGCGTCATCTGTAGCTTGTTGGCTGCTTTCCACAGAGCTTTCCCAATTGCACTCGCATGTGTTCTTATTAGCAACCCCTGAGGATGTTAGGTAGGTGTGATGGAGACTCATGTTTCACCAAATGCTGTTTGCATTTCTGCTTTAACACATAGCTGGATGGTGTTTCCCAGACTTCTTGTGGTCAGGTAAAGCCCGTGTGACTGTATTCTGGCCAGTGGAAAATGGGAGGATGTGATATGTGCCACTTCCAAGCCTGGTCCCTAAAAGACCCTGATCCTCTGTGCTCTCTGTCTTCCCTTTTCTGCCAACAAGATGCAAGGCCCTGGTGTATGGCAGAACCACTAGATAGAAGTTGACCGGGTCTCTGAATGCCTGCATAGAGTAGGGACCTCATTCCAGTCCCAGCGACCTTCACTGGACAATGAAGTGCAAGAGAAATAATCCACTGAGATTTGAGGGACTGATTGTTTGGTCAGTTAGCTTATACTGACTAATACAGTATAATTGGAATCATCTGTCTTCAGTAATGAGCTTGTGGGCACAGAAAAGCTATGTGACTTACTCAAAGGCACAAAAATTAGTGAGGCCAGCTGAAATTTATCCAGTGCTTAGTCAGTGAGGCACTGTGCTGAATGATTTATGCATATCTCATTTAATGCTCACAAGAAACCTATGAGGAGGGTACTACACTTAGTAGGCCCAGTTTACAGATGAGCAAACATATTTGGTTAAGGAATGTGGAGTCTTTCTTAAAAGACTACACAGCATCTGGGGATGGTGGTGTGAAGGGTCCCACAGTGTAAGCTGAGGGTTGAGGCATCCTTACCATCTTGGTTAGGTGTGACCTTGGCTGAGTTTGCTGCTGCCAGTCGTCTTGTTGACTCCTTGTGTGACTGATTGTTTTCCAGTAAATTATTTTCCTGCTTAAATTGACCATACTCAGTTTCTGTTGCTTGCGAATAATAACCCCACACAGCACAGAGAGGTTGAGTAAATTACAGATCACAGTAGTGATAAATGGCAAAGATTTTAATCTAGGTCTGTCTGATCCCCAAACCTCTATCCCTAACCTCTATATTTCTTAGCCCAAACTGGAACTCCAGCCGTATGACTCTTTGTGTTCTTTTTCTCCCCCTCAATATCATTGGCCTTGGGATAAAGAAAGTTTGGCTTCAAGGTCATAGTAGGTAAGTTAAGTTGCCTAAGCCTTAGCAAAAAGGAGTTTTTACTAAGTTGGTTCCTTTGCAGTTTAAGTAATATAGTAATCCATACAAACAAAATATCTGGCACATATTAAAAACAATAGTTACTATTATTACGTACAGCTATGTTTCCTAAGTTTATTTCTAATGATTATATGATTAGTTGTTGTGCATAAAATGTTTAGAGGGCATAATAATAAGTTGAGTATATATTATTTATTTATTTATTTATTTTTTGTGGTACACGGGCCTCTCACTGTCATGGCCTCTCCCGTTGTGGAGCACAGGCTCCGGACACTCAGGCCCAGCGGCCATGGCTCACGGGCCTAGCCGCTCCGCGGCATGTGGGATCTTCCCGGACCGGGACACGAACCCGTGTCCCCTGCATCGGCAGGCGGACTCTCAACCACTGCACCACCAGGGAAGCCCGGCACTAGCAGTTTTTGCAGGACAGGGTCCCAGTGGTACCCTGGATAAGCTGATGCCAGGTCAAGGGACCCCATAGCTATAGATAGTATCTGGTAGGAAAAGCTGAGTCCTTATGCCTGTCGAAGAACAGCTTCTTTGCTCACAAAGATGCTTGTTCTTTTTCTTTCCATTTTTTACTGGAAATGTTCCCATCCTCGTCCTCCTCCCCTCTGCAAGGTCCCCACATTGGCTCCCTGCTTCCAGGCGGGTTTGCATTCATTTCTCCCAAATAAATGTGCTTCAATTCTTCTTATAAACATCTCAAAATTTAAAAATTGGAAACTTATTTTGGAAGAAAACCAGATGAATTCTGTGTCTGGGTAAAATTCACTAATATCACCTCAATAGCTAGACTGTGATTACAGCCAATATTAGGTATACCCTTGAGAAATTATCTAATAAAGTTAATCAATATAAGTAGGCAATAAAAATCATCTCTTTGGGGGCTTCCCTGGTGGCCCAGTGGTTGAGAGTCCGCCTGCCGATGTAGGGGACGCGGGTTCGTGCCCCGGTTCGGGAAGGTCCCGCATGCCGCGGAGCGGCTGGGCCCGTGAGCCATGACCGCTGAGCCTGCGCGTCCGGAGCCTGTGCTCCGCAACGGGAGGGGCCACGACAGTGAGAGGCCCACGTACCGCAAAAAAAAAACTCTTTGAAAGTAATTCTTTCCTTTTCATCAAGGGAAGGGAAGGAGATTGCCTAAATTATCTGAATTAGTACCTTAATTCTCTTTTTGTGATTATATACACAACTAGTCTTTGGATATTTGGGGCTAGGCCCAGGCAAAAATAAGTTCTATCAAAGTAATATAGGGGGCTTCCCTGGTGGCGCAGTGGTTGAGAGTCCGCCTGCCGATGCAGGGGACGCGGGTTCGTGCTACTGCTAGTGCCCTAGCACAATGCGTGGCACACCCA